TAGAGAGGGACGCCCTTGCTCTGATTGCATTTGGTAGCTTGTTCCACCATCGGGGGAACCACAGGCGAGAACAGTCTGGACTGTGACTGCCTTGTGTGCAGGGATGGCAATGACAAATGACATTCCTTGGAGGAACACAGTGGCCGAGAAGGAGCATAAGCCTGTATGATTGAGTTCAAGTAGATGGGTGCAGACCCAGAAGTCACTCTGAAGGCAAGCATTAGTGACTTGAATTTGATTCGCGTGACCATGGGTAGCCAGAGAATGAGCAGTGGAGTGACATGTGCCCTTTTAGGCTGATCAAAGACCAAACGGGCTGTTGCTTTCTGGACCATCTGTAAGGCTTTCACTGTGCGTGAAGGAAGGCCTGCCAGAAGGGCACTGCAGTATTCGAGGCAAGAGATAACCATGGCCTGGACCAAAAGCTCTGTGGTGTACTGACTCAGGTAAGGCCTGATATATTGGAGTATGATTTGAAAAAATGAATATCAGCATTTCACGATTGAATCCAAAGTTTGAAAGCTTTTATTTTAAATGCTTTAATACTCAATGTGGTAACTGGACATAAACGTTGGTTATCGTTTATTTTCCAAGTGACTGAATTGGGTATCACACCCAGGGTTTTTGTTTTGGGCTTAGTATGTGTGTGCACCTCTCCACACATGTATCCACATCCAATTCCCGCTTTCAGGGCACGAACACGAATCTCTGTAGATGTCAAAGTCTGAAGAGATAACGAGGAGAAAAGAAGAGGTGGAGATGAGCTGCACGGACGTCAAATTAGCATTCAGACACTGCTCTATTGACAAGGTCATCTAAACACCGCTTTATCTCCACCTTCTAGGATCAACTGCTGGGATTCAATAGAACCACTGTACTTTGTTGCGACTTCCCCAAGGCAATGTGAGCTGCTGCTCAATATCACTCACAAGAAAAAAAAGCAGGAAAATGGGTGTAAAGCTTAGAAGCAGGCTGTCAATAGGCAATGTTACAGAGGGTGTTTCTGGCAAAGGACATTTTATTCAGCCAACACTAAGCCCAGCAAGACAAAGAGTGTAAGGACATAAAAGAAATAAGACCTTCTAAGTATCAAGAAAAGATTTTGCTGAAGTTTATAGAACTTTATTCTAAACTCAGTGCGCAGATTAGCATTATAAAGTTGTGTGTATCTGTACAGAGAGAGACGGAGAGGAGAGGAGAGGAGAGGAGAGAAGAGGAGTGAAGAGGAGAGGAGAGGAGAGGAGAACGGGGATGGGTAAGTGGATGTCATACTGAGAGCTGGCTGAAGGGCTGGATAAAAGGCTGTGTGAGTCTTTCTCCCACTGAGAGTTTCTCAATGGAGGTGGAATGCCACAGGCTTCCAGAGGGCAATCTGTTTGACTGGTGGAAAGGGAGGAGGAGGGGGGAGAAGGACAGAGCTGCAGAGGGAGGAGGAGGGAGTCAAAAGGCAGATAGAAAGAGGGGAAGAGTGAGTTCAACCCCAACAGCTTTCTGATTCTTATTGTGCATACAGATCATTGATTCTATTATTATGTATAAGCATTGAGCAAAGTGGGAAAAAACATGTGCCCACAGGCATACATACGTACATACTTATATAAATGTATATGCAGTACATATCAACATATATTATGCAGAAAATAATGACTGCAATCTTTAGCCTGTTTGATGTGTGAGCTTTGTTGTCTCTGTCTGGAGTTTAAACGAAGCACTCAGACATACTGTATATATACACACACACACACACACACACACACACAGAAGGAGCCACAAACCCCTACAAGTCCACTCACACTCTTTGAAAGGATATGCATGTTTTGGATCTGTGCAGATGAGGAGTGCATCTACTCCGTCATCATCGAGGTAGAAAACAAACTGAGCCAGAGACACAGGAGGAAACTGAATTGATGGACCAACAACAGAACCCTCAGCAAAGATCAGAAACCACGCCAGGAGCATGAATACACAGCAAACTCCAGTTAAGACCATTTCCACTTGGCTTCTGTACTCACGAAAGACGTGGAGCCACCGGGAAACCTCTGGGTGGGGAAGTGGAAGTTTTGGGTGCCTACCTTGGGTGAGCGTTCCCATGAGGAAGCGGTAGAAATAGCGAGCCACCTTGGTGAGCTGCCTCTTGCACCTTTTCCTGCACTGGCTCATCTTGGTGCAGCTGTGGTGGAGGTGGAGATGATGGCAGTGGTGATGGTGTTAGTCAGCTAGTCTGCCGGCGGAAGCAAGCTTTCAAGGTAGGAGGGGAGGAACAGAGCACTGTGAGTGTGTGTGTGAGTAGGTATGTTATTGTGTATATGTGTGTGTGTGTGTGTGTGTGTGTGTGTGTATATGTATATGGATAGTCTGATTGCCGCTGCCTCTCTTCTCCTCCTCACTCACCCCTTCTCTTTCCTCTCTCTGTCGTCCTCCCCCCCCCCTCTCTTTCTCTCTGTTCTACTCTCCACCTGTAGGGCGCTGGCTGTCAATCAGCCAGGCTCGCTTTGTCTCCTCCCCCTCACGTTCTGGGAAGCCCTGTTCTGGCCTCTCATTGGCTGGGAGCAGAGTGTGGCGGAAAATTACGGACTGGCGCTCATGTGAGAGTGCGTGTGTGTGTGTGTGTGCATATGTGTGTGTGAGAGAGAGAGAGAGCAGTATACTACGAGGAGGCTGGCTTGAGTGGCAGGTGGTGGTTTTTCTCTAGCTGCGCATTCCACACATCTTGTTGATGTTTTTTTTTTTCTTCTATTTTTCCTCCACTCACCGCTCAAAAAGAAGACAGCCTCTCAGAGTGTGTGTGTGTATGTGTGTGTGTGTTTGAGCCAGCAGGAGGTTGAGTAAAGTGACAGAGGAAACAAAGCAAACCCATTAATTAGCATCACACACCGTCCCTTTGCGTGTCTGTCTCTTGCTTGCTCATTAATGGTATTCATAATACAGAGGATGGAGAGGAGGAGCAAAAAGGAAAAGTGAAGGTACACGAAGAGACGGATAGGGAGGTGGAGACGGGGCAAAAAGGGGAATGCATAATTAATATGTTTCCCTCCTTTCTCCAGTGTGGTGAAATTTAAAGAGAAAAGGCTTGACAGGAGAGAGAGGGTGTTGGGCAAATACCAGCCCTCACCAGAAGTTGATGGACGGATTATTATCTGCCAGCAGAGGAGGAGGAGAAGAGAGAGGAGGGTAAGAGAGGAGGAGCTTTTAAATCCTGTGGGATTGAGAAATAGGTATTTATGTAAAGCCTTTTCTGCCTTCATCCTTATCATTCTGCCTCTAATCTCTGTCTCACTCAGTGTCAACACTTGCAGAGTCACCAAGCATGGAAACACACACACCTAGTTTTCCCTCTAGACATATTTTATTGTTTTACCCTCTACAACTCCCACATTACCTGACTAAACTGCTGCCACTCCACCCTTATCCTCTCTCTTTCTCCCCGACGCTGAATTAAAAGTGATTACCGTTACCACAGCAACCCCCAGACTCCATGGATTTTTCTGGTGGTCTAAGTGGCAGACGCACACACACACACACAGGCACACAGACACACAGACACACACACATGCGCTTACATACACCACTTACATTGACGTACACACCTGTCTGTTTGTCAGGTCAGGGAGGAAATCAATCAAACATCAGGCAGATGCCTCCTCTCAACACTCTCGCTCTCGTCTGTGTGTGTCTCTGTGCTCTCTTTCTCATTTAGAAGTCACATGGAGGGGTCAGAGTACGGGTGAGTGTTTGACAGCGAGCTGCTCCGGACTATTAAGAGCCGATGCAACATGGCCAGACGGAGTAAAGAGCCCTGATGTAACCGTGAAACACATAATGACGTCTGAATCCTTCGATTCTGAGAAAAGGCGCTAAGAACACGTGGAAGAAGGAGAGAAAGATTTTGAACAGCTTTTGAAAGTTCATATAAGACTTACTAATTAATAACTTTGACTCCTGCCTTTGAATATATATATAATATTTTTGAGTGTGAATGCACTCAGCAGCAAATATTTCTTAATTTCTGAAAAATAAACTTGGTGTGAAAGGTCCACATGTAATTTCAGGTTTTGGATCATGCGTCTGACTGTTAGCCGTCATTCAGGGATCTGTCTTTCCTCAGAAGAGCTTTACATTTGTCCAAACTCCTTTACCTCCAGCTCTGACACTGTGGGAGAGGCAGAGCATGTCAGACCCTGGGCAGATATATGACAGGTTTGCGGAGGATGTAGAGTAGCTTGCAACATTGAGGCACTGTCAGTTGAACCAACCAGACGGGACAAAAGGGAAATAGTAAGAGGCAGTGGTAAAAAACACACATTGTCAGGATTAGCTGACTGTCCAGCAGGGAAATGTCTTTCTACAGAGGGTACAGAAGAGGTGATTAGAAGAAAGGGTGTGGCTGCTCCAGAACAAGAGATCTGCATGTTATTTTTGCTTTAAACACATCCAGGATTTGTGCCTCGACTCAGCTGCCTGTTCTCAAGGGTATGCGTGTCTGTGTTTGTGCATGTTTTTCCCCCAAATGTTTCCATCCAGGGGTCTGAGTCACCACTACCAAGATGTCCAGGGTGTGAACCGAGCAGGGCCAAATCCAGGCTGCAGTCCATTAGCGATTATTACCAAGAAACACAACACAAACAAATAACACAACAACTCACACGGCAGCCCCCTTTTGGCAGCAATTATCAACTGATAAAAACCTTTAGGATTTAGTACTGACATGTTAATTGAGACTTCAAGAAAATGGCAGTAGCTCTTAATTGTGTTTTCATGCAAGGAAGAAAATAGTGTCAGTCTTAAAATGTCAGAGAAGTGATATATATATATAAAAATAATAAAATGGACAGACAGGGCGGCAGACATGAAAGAGGAGCTGCCAGAGAGAGAGAGAGGTCAACCTGACAAGAAGAAAGATGAGTTAAGGAGCAGACAGACTTGCTGCACCACTGACACGTCAGAGAAGCTCCAGATCTGCAAGCTGTCTGAGTGATTGGATCCATCATTAGGATGGAGACCCTGGAGGCCTAAGAACTGCCCTGACCATCAAAACACTGTCGGAAACATCGTCAAGCAGCCTGGAAATCTTTGGCTTTTTGGCAGGTCAACAGGAGGATAAATCTATAAATCTAACCAACTATCTGATAGACCTCATCCTGCCTTCCTCTTTTCTTTGCCTGTTTTTTTTTTCTGTTTCTAAACTCAGTTCAAACATTGATAAGCATATTAAGGTTTGTTCTGAATAAGAAAAAAATGTTATGAAAGACAGAGTCAGTGTGTGTGAAAGTGTGTGTCTCTGTGTTATGAGGGACAACATAATGATTTTTGCACAGATTTGGAAAGGGTGCAGCAGTCTGTGTAGGCTGCCATATGAGCACAAAGACACACAGGAATGTTGGAGGGCAGATGTGACACTGACACTCCACTCAAGTATCTGGCAAAGACAGGCACACATACACACACACTTTCACACATTTGTTTTTAACACTATTTATGTGACGGGCAAAGGCACCAGCTGGTGAAACCCACTCAACACTCTATTCACCGAGAACATGTGACTGTGGAGGGAAGAAAGAGGAGAGGAGAAGGGAGGAGAGAGGAGAAAGAGGAGAGAGTGAAGAGAGAGAGGGAGGAACGAGAAAGAAGCACAGGTGGAAGCACTCGTCTCCAGGGATGATGGGTTAAGCCTTAAATACAAACAAAAGTGTCTGTCTGGTTCTTATAATAGAAATATAAAATGAAATAGGAAGTGTTATTATAACATAAATGATTTATTTAAAATAAACCATAGTAAGTCATAAGAGCCATACATTATCTCGTGAGAAATGTCGAAAAAATGCCCCGTCTCACAATGTTAAGGAAAGTGATCATAAACATTCCTGGATCTGCCCCTTCGACCAGATCCGCACCAAAATTGAATAGGTTCTCTCTTAGCCAACGCCCCATCCCTCCACCAAGTATGGTTCAAATCATTTCAGTACTCTTTGTGTAACCCTGCTGACAAACAAACAAACAAACAAACCAACAAACAGATGTGGGTGAAAAACATAACCTCCATGGCAGAAGTAATGAAGAGCAGTTTTCAGAGCTGAGGAATTCTCGCCCCCTATCATACGTTTCCCTGTCCACTGCTGCTCTGTTTGCACATTTGTGTTAGATGCTTTAACAAACCAGCTAGTGTGGGCTGGGAATGGAGTATAAAGCATCTGCACAGCCAGTCTGCACTGGTGCTGACTTAAGCCTTATTCACACCATTTTAAAAATGCCCTCTCCAATATTATGTAAATGGTGTATTGCCAAGGTCCTGCACAGATGCTTAACTCGCTCAGCCTGGTAATCAGAAGAGATCATGATACATCATAAAACTTCCTATGAAAATAGCCAGAAAACGAATGCTCAGTATTTTCAAATTGCTATTTGCCAAGATGCTAGCTGGCCAGAGTCCCCCAAGTTGTCCTCTCACATGTTTTCCTTTTCTTAGAAAAACACAACATTTTGAACAAATACCAATCAGCTCTGCTAATGGTAACATGGTAACAAATGATTTACCACTGTCACTACACTCTGGAAACCATGCCATTAATTGATTTTGTTGGACCTCTCTGCCTTTGATACAGCCGACCATCCCATAATCTTGGAGCATCACAAACATTGTATTTGCAACATAGATCAGTATAAACTAAAATTAAAAAATTCTCATCCCTCTGCTACTTTGTCTTCTGTGATGCACCACAAGGCTCTACTTGAGGCCTGATACCATTTTCATTGTGTATGATCCCACAACATTCCTTACCAATGCTACATTGATGATACGCAGCTATATTTCCCTTTGAAACCAAATGAAACGCATAATCTACAATGCTGGTTGACCAGAAACTTTCTGTGTCAGATCCCCCCCATCTGTTGCCACTTTTAAATCACAGCTTAAGACCCAGTAATTATGAATTTAATTATATAATTGTTCTACATTGTCTGTCATGGTTAGCACCCTTTGGCTTTTGTTTATCTAATTAATTTCTAATTTCATCAAATTGAAGTATTTTATTATTTCATTTAATGTGCCTGTTGTTTTTTGACTTGACAGGTCAAAGTGGCATGAGCAGCACAAGAACCTTATTATTTAAACTTTAATATATGGATGCAAATTAATCATTCTTTTCTTTTTCCATCACCATGGGCATGGATGACAGATACTAAATAAAAATATTTTTTTAAAATATAAAGTTCCATCTTACAGTATTTAGGTCATAAACCTTTGCTATACTTTCCTAACTACCTTTTTTATGATGGCCTCAGACATAAGTCACAGAGTGTCAATTAGTTCCAATTGTATTTCTTTTTTCTTATACCCATATGTACACATCATTCAACTAAAATGAATAGGACATGCTGGCTGATTGTTTGTCAGTCAAAGCTAATCTGACAGCAATAAGTACATTGCTGTGGTTCAGCAGGTATAACATGTGTCATGTATTTATTTGATTTATTTAATGTCACAAGTTGAAACCCAACTCACAAACTTTCTCACTGCACATAACAGCCTCTCTAGCATTCCACACTTTAACTGAGTGATATCTATTAAATACATTTGACGATAAAACACTGGAAACTTACAATTGAGCAACAATTTCATTTCAGGATTATATTTCGAATAGTTGCCAGTATTAAAGGACAGTTCCTTTAAACAAAACCCTCTGCTCTGTGATTAGAAAAAGCAACTTCAGCAAATTCAAGGAGAGAACATGAGCGCACCTGTCCATGACTGTGCCTAGTTGATATTTAGAAGCAATGCTGTGGACACTGATAGATTTCAAATGAAATGTTGAATATTCTTTATCAAACCTATGCACTGTAGCCGTTGGCTGCGTAGAGTGCAGACACCAAGCAACCATAAAATAAGCTCTGTGATGCTGCCGCCATCTGCAGGCAAAAACCTGCACAGCCACAAATCCAGAAGCAAGTCGCCTGCCCTGAGGGCAAACAGATGGACTGAGAGGAGACACAGGGGAAAAGAGACTCATAAACTTCACAAGCATGCACGCCACGCACGCACACGCACGAACATGCACGCACGCACGCGCACACACACACACACACACACACACACACACACACACACACACACACACACACACACATCACTTTCTGACTTTAATGAAGACCAGAGAGGAAGAGGGGATATTAATGAAGTCTAAACACGATATGTAACTAATGATGCATGCCTTTTCCAGCTTGGAGTGAAATAAGACTATAGTGCACTTCAATTTGAATGCTAATGAATATTCATTAAAAGCTGCTCTAAAGATAAGAAAATATGGATTGCCAAAGTAATTATTTGGGTCTGTGTGTGTGACCAAAGATATGCATGTGTGTTTGTAAGCATCCAAGAGTCGTCCTGCCTCCAGGTACAGGCTCTGACTGTCTGATCACTGCTCTGACCACTAATGGACAACCTTTCAGGCACATGAGAGCGACCTGCAGAGTTAGAATAAAGACTATGGTGACTTAAGGAGAGACACTGCGTCATTTTCATACATAAATGTTATGCATTTAACTCAGACTAATCAGAAACAGCGCTGATATCTGCTGATTTGCTTTATCCAGAACAGCTTTCCTCTGAGTTGAGTACCACTGCACAGACCTTAGAAATAGAACTTTTTCATCTAGAATATTTATACAGACACTCTGGATGACTGACAGGAGGAAAAAAAACTACAGCAATGGCATCTGGCACTCCACATCAAAAAGCAGTGTGTGCCATTCACCGCAGCGTCCAATGACTTTAAAATAGCTGGCTGTACTAAACAGTTTATACCAGTAGAGGGCAGATACAGACCAGTAAAACCACAGCTACTGCAGGAATAAAAGAATTTACAAAGAAACTCATAATTGTCCCTCAAAGAAAGAAATAATCATAATTATTTTCATTCTACTTTTCATTTTTTTGGGACTTGAAATGCCCTGCAGGCAAATTCAACTCCAGAAAAGCAGCAAAATGCACATGAAATTATACATTACAATATTATACATTACCTATGCATTACCTCAACTCTGAATAGGTTAGATTGTGAATAGGTTGGCAGCCCCTCGAAATGAATTTTGAAGTGTATGGGAAAGCCATTTTAAATCTTGGTAATAACTTCAGACAAATCTTGGCTAAGCATTTATTTATGCCGACTTCTTTTAGATTAATGTCTAGCACCAGTTTACTGCTGTCTGATTTTATATAGTTAATTATCTTTCCTGCAGAAAATAGAGCAAAAGTGTAATTGAACCACCAGGAGACAGAGTTGGAGGATGAATGCAGCCGAGATATTCACTGGACTTTATCGGCCCACAGCCGAGTTACTTCAGATTTAAGGATCAGACTACTGCTTTGCTCCTTGCTCTGCATCAGAGTGATGATGGTGAGAAAAAGCTGAAAGGTCATGAGAGATCATGGCGTGGTCAGGGATTTGTTCATAGCATAGAGGAATAAGAAGATACAGGAAAATGAATTAATGAGAATAAAAACTTCATCTTGGGCGTCACTGTGGTACAATTTGAAACAAAACAATAAATATTAGATTCAGGTCATGACTCTTTTCCACTCTACATTAAAGCTACACAAACACCCGCTCTCTTCTGGTGTTGTCAGCCTTTAAACCCTGGGGGAGCTCCCTACATATTCCTTTGGATAAAGCGAGGGATGAAGCTGCTGCTGTGTGGATAGATGGAGATGGAAAGGGGACAGACCCAAGGGAGACAAAAATGACAACAAACAGGGAGAGACGAGGAGAGGAGTGGATCACTGGGCCATGAGGTCTACAAGTAACCCACCGGGGAGAAACTGTGGCTTTCACGTTGTTTTTATTGCCAGGCGCCGACTAGCAGCAAAGTCAGCCAAGCCGAACGCTTGAAAAGAGGAGCACCAAATCGCACGCTGCTACCTGCACCTCCTGGAAGGCATCAAACATCCTGCGAGTGACGATAGGTCTCTGATATTCCGTAAGCGCCGGTGTTGACGTGAACCCTCGCTATTGCCTTG